TAGCATCACCAACCTGATCATGATGTATAGGGTATACACTGACCCTAAATATTTCTTCATGCAGACACAGTTCATTAGTCCTTGGACATTATAGCAAGTAGCGGAATAATCACCAAGCCATACAGGTATGTTAATAAAAGGGCAAGTTGTTTCGGGAGTCATTGCAATTAATACTTAAATTCAAAATACTAAAGCATCAGAATCCTTTAAAACGTTTATTAACATGCGGTACATTTCAAAGAGCTTTGATTTAACAAGCTTTCCAACAAAGAAATAAGAGAATGCTTACTGTATATGTGTAGATAATATGAGTGTTTTTGCCGAAACACCAGGGAAATTGAGGTACAACATCGGAGAAACCGTGTTTGAAAGGATCAAAATGTGATTGAGTTGATTCGTGTATGTACAAGCAGAAATGCAGACGAATGAGTGTAGCGAAATGGTCACCAACTGAAATCACTCTTGTTATGATGCAAAAGCCATGTTAAACGCTAGCTTTTATCAGTTTTCTCTCTCCCTACCCATCAAAGCTGCCCACCGAAGTTAAAGTAATAGTCACATCACAGTAAAACGAGCATCAGAATCTGGTGTGTGTAGTGAAGAAAGGTCCATTAGAAAGCGCTAATTAGGTAGAAGTCAGGCAAAAGATAATGCGAGCAAAGGGTTCGAATGCATTGTTCGACCCAGAACTGAGTAGCAACTGGACCAAAAATGCTTTTGAAACTATTCATGAAAGTGGGAAAGAGGTCAGGAGAGGGGTGGTTTGGGTGATAGAATGAGGTCCGCACAATCAGACGATGCAGTACTGAAAAATCGCAACCGCAAATCAATAGTGGAAATGAATGACATTTTTCGTGCAGAAATAGAGTACAAAAAAAATTTGAGGTGAATATCACATGCAAGTAGCGATTTAAAATACTCGATTGAACAAATGGTAAGAAGGAGCACCTGAGGATATGAAAAAGGTGACTCAAAATCATCGGTCAGAAAACTGAAGGTATCCGTCCACTGCCTAAATAGGTACCTACGAACAGAAATAATAAATACTACTCGCTCACAAGTCTGACGCATCCCCGAGGTAAGAGACGAGCAAGAGCGGCAGCAGTGAAAGAGGCGACTTTGGGTTTTTCCAAGGGATGGAGGATAACCTGATTGCCAATGCCCAGATAGTAGACAAGTCGCAAAAAGTACTCCTCGCCTATGCATTTGTAGAGGTGGGACAGCAATCGCATTTGGCTGAAACAGAAACCGAAAAACTTAGTAAAGCACCAACCTGGGCAGTGAAGAAGTGGCAAATGAGGGCGTGCCACAGAGGCTAGGAATAAATTGTAATATTCTATTTATAGCTATTGGATTTGACTAAGCAGGCTTCAAAAGTAACATAGGAGTTTCAGTGGATGGGCACCAAAAACAAGCAATCCAAGTGAAGCGTAAATAAAAACACAAGGATTGCCCAAGCTGTTCTCAGTTGGGATGAGCCTCTCAAATCGACGACTCCTGGCGTAAGTTGCAATTCAACAGGGTCTTCTAATGATAACTTTCTAAGGATACATGAAAATAACTAGGAGGGACACAACTATGGTAAAACGAAAAGAAGAATAAAATAAAATGCA